TGTGTGTGTGTGTGTGTGTGTGTGTGTGTGTGTGTGTGTCAGGTCGTCGTACGAGGCGGCTCAGGAGTGGGCGCTGGCCGTTCAGTTCTGTCAGCTCCACAACCTGCAGCTGAGCTCCGTTTACCCCGCCCACTGTGCCCATGACGGACAGTTCATCCACTTCCTGTTATTTGTCCAACTGCACAACTTCCCGCCTCAGCAGGTACACACACACACACACACACACACACACACACACACAGCAGCACCCTCTGCAGGTTCATAAACATCAATCTCTCTCAAATATCTACGTCCGGTTCTTCCTCCAGGTGAGGTCGCTGGCGGCTCAGTTTGGCCCCACCCTCCAGGCCCACCTGAGCTTGGCATTTCAGGACCTGCAGGTTTACTGCAAGAAGAGCTGCGACTCTGATGAGCAGCATTCGGTTCTGAGAACTGAGGAGGCGGCCTCGGGGAGCCCGGAGCGCCCCGGGGAGATGTTCCAGGCGCTCCTGCAGAGCCAGGAGGAGCCGGCACCCTGCAGATACCTCCTGCAGGAGGCGGTGGTGCAGCGCTGCCCCACGCTGGCGGTACTGGCTGCCTGCATGCAGGTAAGGGAGCGAAACACCCCCGGGTTTCTTTTCCGTTTTTTTTCGAGTTTCCGGGCTCAGCTCAGGTAGAGCAGGTCGTTTGCTCCTCTGTGATACCGCAGCATGTTTAAACCTGATGTTTTCAGGGAGCAGAGCTGCTGCCGTGCCTTTGTGTGTGGGTGCTGACCTCTGTCGATGATGTCACCGCCGAGGAAGCCACCTCCCACCTGGCTCAGGCGCCGCAGCATCACGAATGGACCTTGCACGACCTTTCCATCATCTGGAAGACGCTCCTGGGCCGGAGCCTCGCGAGGCCCCTCCTGCGAGGCTTCGAGCTCTTCCAGAAGGTAAAACCACGCCTCGGTCACCGCTCGTCTGACCGCTGCAGTCGCGGTCGGCGTTCAGCACGTCGCCGCATCAGCTTGAAACACAAACTTGTTGTTTTTCTGTCTGACTCGCAGGACTGTCCTCTGGTGTTGGTGCTCAGGATGTTTGAGCTTTGCTGCGACTACAGAAACTTCGCCGAGGCCAAGTCGAAGCTGCTGGACTTCCAACGGACCCTCATCGCTGTGAGTCCGACTGCTCCAGTGCCCGACACAAAAGACAAACACAGACCTTCCTCATCAGTCCGTCCTTTAGTTCACCTGAACGCTTGTTTTTCCTCATCATCTGTTAGCGATCACGAGAACTGAGCTTCTGTTTTTAACTCAAGCAGAAACTTTTCCTCTGTCTAATCTGCCTCTCTCCTTACGTAGCTGAGAAACGGTGGTCCTGCGCCCCCTGGTGGCCTCCCCCTGCAGTGGGTTGAGAGCCAGGCCTCGGTGCTGCTCCTCACGATGCTGCAGCGCTGCTCCTCGCAGTACGACATCCACCGGCTGCTGCAGCTCCTCGCCGACGTCGACAAACTCCTCAAATCCAACGGTGAGCTGTGCCCGACGGTCTGCAGCTGCCTGCTTCATCAACTCTCTGGAAGAAGTTTCTCATTTTCTCTTTCATTTGAAGGTCCAGATTTCAGGAAGCTGAACCAGCTGAGTCAGCTGCTTCAGGGGTCAGAGGTCAGCATATCTCCCAGGCTCCTGCAGAGCAGTTCTCCCTCCGTTCAGCAGGAGGAGTTCCAGGCGACCGTAGACGCTCTGCAAGCGAGGGGGTGCTACAGCCGGGCGCGGCAGGTGGCGCAGCTGGCCGGCCTGCCCGTGCACCGTCTGCTGCTCAGCCAGGTCCACACTCGGTCTTCTTCGTGCACGCTTTAAAATCGATCATTTATCTGTGACGTCTCAAAAAGTGATTGACCTCTGCTCTCCTTCAGCTCCTCCAGGAGGTGAGCTCTCAGAGGTCCAAGCGGCAGTGGGGCAGATTCGAGACCCGCGTCGGCTTCTGGAAGAAATGTCACGAGCAGCTGGAGGCCGACGGCACCGATCCAGACCCCGCCTCCCAGTTCTTCCTGTCGCAGGCTGAGGCCGGCGCTCCAGGGTCTCCGGAGGCTCCGGAGGACCTGCTGGACATCCAGGAGCACTGCCTGCTGCTTGGGCTCGCCGCCCACTGGCTCTCCCGGATCGCGCCGGCTCCCGTGGACAAACTGGAGAGCCTGGAGAAAGCGCAGTGGCTCAGCCGGATCCGCAAACGCATCCTTACCGTCGCCATGGAGAAGGAGAGCGTCTTTAACCTGCCGCCGGCCGCCAACCCTGAAATGAACACGCACAAGGCGCTGATGAAGGAGTTCTCCTTCTCCAACATAACTCAGCTGAACGTCGAGGGGTACCTCGGGCTGGAGGGACTGCCCGGCCCCTCCGACGAGCAGGAGGAGCCTAACGCCG